AAGTCTAGTTGGGTGTTGTTTCTTCTCTCAATACACATCTGTCAGTGAGGTGGAGAGAGCAGCTGAGATGCCGCAGGTTGTTGCTACTGCCTACCCTGAGCAGCATAACCGTCAGCCACCTCTTGGGGAAGACTGTCACCTCAGTGTACAAATTTAAAACTGTTCTGTATCAATACTCGTTCCCACCTAGATGTTTTTACACTAAGTAGTTTAAGGAGACACCACATAAACGGCCATAGAAGTTTAGCTTTGCAGGCATCTGCATGCGAGGGATCCGCCTTGAGTCCATGGGGACTCTGCACACATGTTTGCAGATACATGTCTGTGAAAAGATGTGGGGGACTTGAATCAAATGAATGGCTCAATAGTAAGCCTTTGTTGGAAAATGAGGGGAGTGAACCCTTAGACTCAGGTGTGTTAGAGAATAGAAGCATCTAAAAGTTAAAGGACAGTAGCTCTTGAGGACTGGACTTTAGCAACCCTGATACAAAGCATGTAACAAATTACCTCGTTTCTTGAAAAAACGACATAAATTCCAATGGTAAGGGTGAGAATAATTCCAATCCCCATGACACCTGCAAACTATACAGAAAACAGCATGAGTAACAACCAAATTGATTTCAATTTGATATGGATTAAGAAGTATTTTTGTCAAGTGATTTATTGTAACTCCTGTACATACAATTTTGAGGCAGCTTTTATTCTCTTTGCATGCAGCATGGCTCCCCAGCAAGGAGACCCCGAAAATGCCAAAGGCATAGACCCAACTCCAGACCATTTTCCAGCCATCCCATTTTTTCATCTGGATGTGTGAAGAAAAGAAGACATATTTTATGTATATAGTTTGTATTTATACATTATATCTTGTCATATAATTAAATTTTGGCTTATATTTATTTATTTGGAATATTTTGTATCCATTAAATTGTATGCCTATTAATTTATTTTGTATTTATTTATCTATTCATTTTTAATTATGCCAGAGTTGGTCCTCCATAATCAAGTTTTTGCTATCACTGTTAAAAATAACCAAGCTTTTGTCTTAATAACTGTAACAGAAAATGTGACTATAGTTTCAACGTTTGCATTGTAGTATTTGCATTAAGAGATGTAGGCAGAAAAGGCTTAAGCCCCATTTACACTACCGCTTTGAAAGCGCGCCAAGATCGGTCAGAGCACGATAACCGAAAATTGAACAGGACCATGCCAGACACAACCGAAACACGCTAAACTGGTACTAGTTCATCAGTAGGGCTTAGCGCTGTTCAGTTCTGGTACGGTTCTCACATGACAAAGAGCCCATGAGCAGAGCGCATCATCTCCTTATAGTCAGCCTCCGTAATGATGAAATTTCAGATATTTATAAGAATACTAGCTTCCCTACTGTGCCACATGATTACCAGTGAGAATTCTGCTTAGTAGTGTGATGAACCTCAACGTCTGTCGTTGTTTCCTGCGTCTGTAAGCCCTGATTAGACTATCGCTTGTAGTATTCACTTTCCAAAAGCTGACTGTCTCAACTAAATTCACTAAAGGCTTCCCTTTTTGCCTGACTCTCCTCAAACAACAAAATGTCGCAATTGTGACCAAACTTCTTGAATGTTACCGGCCCCGCATTGTTGATTTGCTTCCCTCTAGAGTGCAGTATTACTGTAGATCATCTCAGAGCAACCTTCTCAGAGCAGAAGCGTACTGCTTTAACCCACAAAGTCAACACTCCCTATGTCTTGTTCTCAATTTACTTTGTAAGTAAATAAAGTGCCGACTGAGTAAATCCACTGATCTCCGTTTATTTAACTGGACTGTATAGTTGAATATTTTTTCAGCGATAGGTGCTAAATTATTATGGCCCCAGAGACAGAGCTAGGCAAACCCTTGAGGCAACCCACACCAAGTAATTTGTTACTCCCATGTGGATGTAATTCACCTCCTCTATTCAAAAAGCAATTCCCTCTAAAACAGAGGGCAGCAGCAGGGTTACTCTCAATTGGAATGTCTTACATAAATTGATATTTTAATTATTAGTATATTGATTATAAAGTGACCAAAAAAAACAAATATGCAATATTGACATACTAATATTAAAGATAAAAAACTCAGAATTGACGCTCTTTTTAGCACTAGATTTGGTGTATTGTGAAGGAGAATATAAAGGAAAAAATAGTAGACTAGATCTGATTACATTTTTTGCCACCTAAAACCACCTCACTAGATCCCAATGTAAAATATTTAAACTATTTCATGTCAAACATAAAGCACATTCAACTTTAATACATTACCTTGACAACTAAGCCAGCAGATATCAAATCATAGATCAGCAAAGCTCCGACGACCTAAGGAAAGAAGGTAAGATTAGCTACATTTAAAAAAAAACACAGAAAAGGGAACTGTACATTTATTCAGTTCAGGTTTGCGAAGAAAATAAAGTGAAGTATAAAAGGATATATTCATTTATTATGCACTAATATTAAGCATTGGTAAATAAAGAAAAGCAAATATCACTGATGAAATATTAACAAGCTAAAATACTTTTAAATTGATTCTTTTTTGGTTCTCGCACAGTAAAAAGCGAACATCCATTCGTCTATACCTATGCTTGCTGGTCATGTTACACGTTTCTCTTATTAAAGCAATATATAAAACTCTTTGTCTTTACGAGAAATTATATATTTTCATGCTTTCTGCTAAAACAATCAGTCCCCTTTTAGTTTGAAATAGAAAACAGCGGTGATAGGGAATTGTTTGAGCAGGGACAGATTGCAATTTATCAATTTCTTAGAGTGATGACATTACACAGCACACACAAAAATGTTTTCCCCTTCTTGCAGCGATAAAGCAAGGAATTTCCAGAGCTGCTCCGGGTTTACTGGGGAAAAAAATTATTTTATTGGAAATCATTTTTATTTTCTCAAGCCTTGTTTTTGTTCTACTTTTGTCAATGTTTTTGTAATTTAGCTCAAACTTATTTGGCTAAAACGGTTGATTAATTTACTTTTAGTTAATGTGGTTGGCCTGTATGAAGATCACCTAGTTTAGCCCACACATGAGGTTTTATCATGGCTGATAGAAACGTGGAAGGAAGCAACAGGTGTTACATTTGTCCCCATTACAAATAAATAAATAAATAATAAAATGGTTCAAAGATTGTTTCATGCTCCCTATGTTACTGAAAACCCATGTATTTTAAATATTTGACGTGCAAATAAGACCTTCCCATTTGGGCAATCAGACTTTTCATCTGATCAAAGCTGATAAATGTTTTAACAATGTAAATATTTTTCTTAACAGTGAATATATATTTTATTGGTTACATTTTACAACTGTCTCTTTAAATGTATTCACTTTTATGAGTTTTAAATGTAATTAATTAACAGTCATATGCAAAACCTGTTGCAGCTTTCCCCTTTTACCTATAAATTGTCTTACCGTAAACAAGATATTGAAGAAGGCAAAAACGGTCTTCGGGAATCTGTTAATTTTCCCCATATTTTCTTTTTCTTCGTGACTCTACAGATAAGAGACAGAGAGCGCTGTAATATAGAGATATTTTAAAAAGAATGAGTTTGCCATTTAGTCTGAAGAATAAGGGGTACAGTTTCACCAGAGAGAGCCAATTTGCAGTCAGACAGTAAAACCTGCCAATGTTTAACAAGCTTTAATGTGAAAAAAAAAAACAATATAGTGGTTAAAAATTAATCAAAACAAAATATTAACAAATGTATTACCTTTTTAGTTTGAGTATTTCTTTTCCATAATTCAAGATCTAACTAATGTTTTCCTGTTTAAAATCATAGAAAAATTAAAGAGATGTTTTTAAGATACAACACATAACCATTTTTACATAAAACATCCCCATTCTGCACAAGAACAAGAGAGCAAAGTATAAAATCAAGGGAGAGAAAAACTTACTGCAGGTCCAGGAGGAAGCCCAGAAAATTGTTAGAAATATTTTGTGATCAAAGAGTATTTCCTGCTTTGAACTACAGTTTCACCACAAACCACGTCACTATATCAGCTTTTTTTTTTTTTTTTTTTTTTTTTTTTTTACAAAAGATAATGTAAAAAGAATAATTTCTTTTAGCACTTCCTGCTGTTTAACTACTTTTTGTTTCTTATTTCTAACTATGAAAAGAAAAAAAAATATATGATTACATTTTTATATATCATACTCATACTTGTTGTCTTTCACTTTGCCAAGGACTGGGTTGCAGGGGCAATAGACCTAGAAGAGACTTTACATTTGCCAGCTGTGCTGGGGGAAGCCTGAGTTGCTCCCAATCCTGCTGAGAGACATAGTGTCTTCATGTCCTGGGTCATCCCCTTTTCCTCCTCCCAGTTCAATATGCCTGGAACATCTCCTGAGGGAGGAATCATGGAGGCTTCTAAAGCCTGTATATATTTTAGAGCTTAAAAATGTGTCATTAACTTAATGTTCTATTATTTATTTTATTGCCATTACTCTGTACATTTTTAAATGTTGCATCTGCTGTTCTGGTAATGCACCTTTGTTGATGAGCGCCAAGTCTTTCAGGTTGTAAAGCTCCTTTACCATTAAATCCATCTCATGCTTAAATAGTTGTAATGCAGTAATGCATGTACTACAAGTAACTAAGTTTTGGTTTACTCCTAAACTAACTTTGATTTCCTTCAGTTCTGAATGCCAACTGGCTCCAATCCAACCCAAATTACAGGATGCATATGTCTCTATGGACTTAGCAAGCCACACTTAGTAGTAAACACTGGCTGTGTCCGAATGTTCACCCTAACCACTATATAGGGCACTATGTAGTGCACTGTGTTGTTTTGCGAGGAGAGCTCTCCTCGGAGTTATGTAACCAACAGGAGTGATCATCTGTCTGAAAGGCCTGTTAACTGAGTTCTAAATAATTTTCAATGTATAGTCCCCGCTCTATACAGTGATTGAGTGAAGAAGAAAAACACAGTTTAATACTGTTTCACTCATCCATCACCCACCCATCCATCATACATCCATCATCCATCTGTCTATCCATCCAACCATCGATACATCCAGACGTATGTCTAAATACTTGAAAAATAGATTGATAACTTAACCCTGCAAATCGGATCAACTTGCTCTATGCCTGAGGTAAATAAATCCAGTAGGATACTTTTTTCATCACTCTTGTGCCAGACATTATTGCCAGAAAACCAAAAAATAAAAGTAATGCAGAATGCTGAATTTTATTAAACACAATAGTTTCCCTTACAATTAGACTGTTCAGTCTGTCAAACTCTTTATCTTAGTAAAAATGAAAAACCAAAGAAAAGAAACATATCTTTTAAACTGAAATAACATCACATTATTACACATTAATCCTTTCCAAAGCAGAGAGGCGGGGTCTGGAGTGAACAAGTCATATCTATACAAAGTATTTGATCTGCTCAGCCACTGAACCAGGTAAGTCCAATCTGGTTTGCAGATTGGAATCTCGAGGTATTAAAGTTAAAAAGCCCGCATTGCAATAGTTGTGTTTCCAAAGCGGTCATGACGATTAATCTGCCCAACCATGTTGAGGGAGATGATCAATCCAAACATCTGCAACAAGTGGACAGAAAGGTAGTTAGAAGCTGCTGGATTGGCCCCGTCAATCATGTGTCAAAACAGAAAAGTTCCAGATTGAATGAAAATCGTTAAAGTAATACCGTTACTCAAAATGGAAATACACAAATATTTACGAACAATAGGTCTGGTTAGAGCAATAGTTCTGGTTGGTTCCCTTACAGACACGTTTAAAAGCTACAGAAGGGATTGTACATTTCGTTAATTATGGAAGGAGACTTAAGAACTTCTACACCACAGCGGCATTGTCAATGAAGCAAAACAACAAAAGACGACCAAAGACCAATTCTACATTTCTTGACTCACTTGTAATGTGATTTACATATCTTTTAAAAACAAAGAGGCAAGTGTATGAAATCACCCGGTGAACTGCTGCTAGTTTTACTCATGCCTGGAAGATGTCTAGTGCTACTACCACAGATTATCTTGATGATCAAGATTCAGATTAGCTAGCTAAATGAATAGAAGGGGTAGAGCGTAGCCGCCTGTGGCCCGGGCTGCCTGTCACAACTCCGGTCCAGCGCTCGGATGACGTCATACACACTCCACTTTGTTTTTTAAAGATATAAATAATATAACCGTGGATGTCTGGGGGACAGTGATTCACCTACATGTTAGGAATGCTGGCGTACCATAAAGAATACATTATGAACAGTTTAGTTTGTGCCTTCAAGTCGTTTGCCCATAGGTAGACGTTACTTGGATATAACCTAACGGAATATCTTCAGAACAGCTCCAAATGACACAAAACCCATATGGGTGAGTAGAACATGATGTAATAATGTAAAATCAAGGGCCTAATGTAAAAAAAATGGCGTTGCCCTTTAATTTATAATAAATTTTACAGTACATACTTGTATCCGTTTTGGAAAGTAAGCAGCTTTAGTTTAATCAATATACATTTTGCAGAAAATGTTTATTGTTTGTGGTTTAATTAAACCCTTTATATAATACCTTGCCACCCCTGTCTAGCTCCGCCACTGCATGGGTAGCTATTTATTGTTTCCATGCTTGGTATAGGTATATTCACATAAGTGTATGTATGCATTTGTGTACATGTATATTATGTATGTCTATATGTATGCATATATACATGTATTATTTGGGGGGGGGTGACTCCTCTCCTTTTTTAGTTGTAAATCTAGGCTTATGATTTTCTGTAAGATTACTGTGTAACTAATCTTGCAGTTACATGTGTAACTGTAACTGTAATTGCATCCCTGCTTGAAACAAATGGAAGGAAGGAAGGAAGGAAGGAAGGAAGGAAGGAAGGAAGGAAGGAAGGAAGGAAGGAACGAACTTACCGCAACAACACTGAATCCAAAATAGACACCTAATAAAATCTTGATGCCAATATCAGCGTAATATATGATGACGTCACGGCAAGACTGCAGAGAGAAAGGTGGGAATTAACTTATTGATTTTAGGTGTTGCTAAGGCTCATAGGAACTTTTCTGAATACCTGAGAATAGATGTTTGATGGTCCTCTATATCGCTGTGAGAAAACAGTAACACATTAGAAGGGTAACAGATAGTTTGACAAAATTTTTATTAAATATATTTTATATGATAATTATTTAGATTTTTTATTTTTTTTTTTACCTGGGAGTTGGAGGTACATTCTGTGTTTGATGATGATATGCAGCTACAAGAGTAAGGGATATCTGAATATTCCTTGAAACCAGTCCATCCACAGCACTGCATCTGCAGGATAAGACATAATGTAAAGGATGGGTTTTATACGTTTTATCTTCTGCCACAAAACAACAGCAGATATTTTTACTTTAATGGTATTTTTTGGCAACAACTGTTTTCATAGAGAAACTAAAAGGGAAAGCTCTTTATCTTACACTTCTTTCTATTTCCCCAAGCTTTTGACGATCATCCATGATAATCTTTGCAACTTCATCACTTTTCAAGTTTTCTGTCAACTAAAAGGTAAGAAAAAACATAATTAGAGTTATCAGAGTCAAAACACATGCAGGATTAAAGCAAAAGGATGATCTGAATTGCACTTTTTGCAAGACATTTCAGCAATAAGTCCCACATGATGGTAAAGGAGAACACTGACCTTAAAATTACCTGACTGCCTGTCATGGTAACTGGGAATAAGTAATAAATAGACCATTTCTCTGGAGGTTTGAACTGGCTGTGGTATCCTGTTCTGCATAAATGTGTTCACCTGATGTCTAGTGCTTGAGTTATAAGAATGTGTGTTAGTAAGAGGCTTGAATAAGGATAAAGACTGAGAACTAAGGTCTAGTTATGGATGTTTGTCTTTAAATAGTGGCTTAAGGCAATTTATTCTTCTGACACATAGCCTCTGCAACTGTCAAATCTGTTTCTCAAAAAAATCCTGACTACCCATTGGACGGTCGCAAACCCACGCAGACCCCAAGCAGAAGTGCCCAATCAAAAAGCAGTTGTGATTCGTCCTTGGTATACCTCTCTGGCTGTCTGTGTGGTCGTCTTTTTCGATTCGGTGCCGTGGCGCACCATTTTTAAAAACCGAGGAAAAACTAAAATGGTGAACCATAACGAAAAGTTAATCAGTCTGTTTGCCAACTACATTAACAGAACCTGTTCCTCTTCGATTTCTAGCAACTCTAGATCCATCTCCGGGACCGTGATACCTTGCATACGTGCCATTGTTGTTTTGGAAGATAAAAACTCCCACCGGCGTCGCCGCTGTTCTTGCGAGTTCTCAAATAGGCTCCCCCTTGCACTTTGGTCAGACCCAAACGACGTTTGATATGTGTGGTTGCAGAAGTCTAATCTGCCCTTTAGTCAAAGATTTAATACCTCCCAATATAACTGTGCATAATTGCTCTACCTGCTAAACGTTTTTTTTTGCACCCTGTCATAATGGTTGATTGTTGCAGATGACCCGCTGTCAAACAGTGTTGGCCAGGCAGTAGATCCCAGCTTATAGGTGAAATTAAGAACACTCAGAGCAGCTTCAGGATTTAGCTGACTGTCCGATGGACCGCTTGCTCACCAGACTCAAATCTCTTCTGCTTTAATATTCTCCACAACTGGTGTTCTGTGGGGTAGCACGGATAGTCAGAACCCCAGCACCCAAACTGCCTCTTCTCTCCTTCCTACACTCGAGTGTCATGCTAAATCCGCTAGAAGGATTAAGCAATGGGAATTAAATACTTGAGTGCCCTTTCAGCATACCTCTCCATCATACCTAATGTTTTTAGTTTGTTATGGTTGTGATTTATGCCGGTATATCCAATATACAGTATACAATTGCTAGCTGGAGTAACAGCCAGTAATGGGGCGCCCTTACCAAAAAATTATAAAACAATTGCTCTGTTTGAAATCCTGGGACGTGTCCTTAGAAGGCCACATTCGAAGGACGACTACGTCATAGCGCGGCACCGAGGTCTGGTTGGATTCCAAGAGTCCTCGTAATGCGACCTTAAAATGGGTCCTTCTTTTTGCCCGATTTGAAGGACGGGTCCGATTTATACTGGGTATCCTTGGTTTATCCAGGATTCATTACGAGACCAAGAAAGCCATGATTTGCTCCGTGATCAGAGGAAAGGTTACTTGGCCCCGAACAGTGGTGAAAATTGGAAGTTCAGTTTAATGTAATAAAAGTCTGTGAATAGTTCAGTCTAAAATGAATGAAAATATTTGTTTTAATGGTTATTGAGTCAGATATGTGGCGGTAATGTTTGATTTATCTAAACGTTTTAATCTGTTACTGTGTAAATGGGTTTGGCTGTAATTTAAGGACAGATTATAATAGATCTGCAGTGTGGGGACTATAAATCTGATAGTTAAATTTTTTTATTACTGTTTTGCACAATATGCTCAACTGAGTATTTTTTGTTGTTGAATACTAGAGATTTTGCAGATATATTTTTTATATATACATTGTTTAGATTTACTTATATATTTCTACCCTTTTATAGAATAGAAAATCCCTTTATTGTCCCACAATGGGCAAATTTACAGCAGATTATTGAAAATGGTCACACAAATGTGGACCTTAGAAAAATGTATAAGAATAACATAATAGGGAAGAGTTAAAATATAAA